TAGGGACTTCCTGCTCTGTAGGGAAAAGTGCCTCAAGAAATAGCTTGTATAGGCAAACTGTCTACTGCTGAGGGGTGGGGGGAACTGGTCAGGCCCAGGCCAACATGTACTGGCCCACTGTCATAGTAAACACGTGATTGAGATACTGCGGAGGCCGTACATGTGATGATTATTGCAAAGTTCCTGGTTCATTACCTCATAATTGCAAATGGTTGTTGACTGAGGTAGTCACTAAACAAGGATTATCTGTATGCCTTGCAGTTCAGGGAACTACATCAGTGCAAATCAGTACAAGGATTGGTGGGGTGGATGTCCAGTTTGAGGGTGGAGTTGAGTTTGTGCTGCATCAAGACGCGGGAAAGGATGCTTTAATCCATAGGGGGAAAATGGCCATGGAGTCTCTTTGGGACCTTTATTCACTTAAGCTGTTGCTGTTGTGTTTTACTGTAATTAAATGCAATGGCACTAGAAATATTCCCCACATTTGACATTGGAGTTATAATCCCGTATTGGCAAACGGGCATAAACAGGAGCTGTTTTCCGTAACCGATGGGGCACATTCACAATCCTGTAAACGTTGCAAAGGTTCCACTTTTCCCTGGAGCCTGAACTGTGCATAGGAGTTGGCATGTTAATGGCAGGAAAATTGCCAGCCTTTAAAAAGACCCCTCCTCCTTCCTTTTGTATAGGAGTGTGTGCTAGTCAATCACAATCTTGTTGCTAACTCTGGGGAGGATTCCTTTTAATTACCTAAACATCATAAAATACAAGTGGGTACAATTTGCTTGCAGCTCAGGAGGGAAATGCCAACAATAAGGGTATTTTTCCTCATGGACTTAAATCCGTCTTTGAAATAGGAAATGTGTAACCAGAGAGGATAAAGCCAGTGAGCTAACGGCAATATTAACTGCTCCTGTAAAGAGAATTAAAATATTACAGCCACTAGTTGTGTACTCCTTTCTGGAAAGAAAGATTAAGGCCTTATTTAACAAGGCCTTGAACATCAATTGAACATCAATTCCTCTCTTTAACGTTGGCTTTAGGACTCCTTTTCTCCTCTCTTTTGCTTCCAGGCTGGGGGAAGAAGTGGGAAGAAGCAGCACCATCAGATCCAGTAGTTTCTGGGCTCCTCCGGAGCGGAAATGGACAACTTGCCCTGGGACAATTCAATTTAATTATTTAAAATAATTGTAAAAATCATTTTAATTTTAGTCATCCGTATTTTATTTTGTCCCTCCCTCCTTTGGCGTCCTTTAATAATTCCATTTGACTATTTCTTCACTATTAGTGGAACTCTTGTCCCACGGCGAGTTGTTCCATGGTGAGTTGTCCTAGGCCCACTCTGGGGTTTGTTTTCCAGAGTTGGGCCTGTGAAAATCTTTGGATGTCAGTGGGTCAACGTTTTCTCCCAGGCTCTCATCTTGACAATGAGATGGAATGCAAAGGCCCCTAACTTGTGGGGTGCCACAAGGGTCGGTCCTCTCCCCCTTACTGTTCAATATTTATGTGAAGCCGCTGGGGGAGATCATCCGTGGCTTTGGGGTGGATTTCCATCAGTACGCTGATGATACTCAGCTGTACATTTCCACCCCAGGCCACCCCAATGATGCCCTTGACGTGATGGCCCGGTGTCTGGAGG